TTACCTATTGATTAGATGGATGACACTCCAGCTAAAGAGATATACCACACACACACCACAGCCTCTCTCCTGCTCCTCTGCTGACCCAAGAGATATTTGGCAATGTGTAAAGACATTTTCGTTGTTCTAACTGGGAGTCTGCTACTGGCATTTAGTGGGCAGAAGCCAGGACCCTTCAACATCCCAGAATATGAGGGCAGCCATTTGCAACAAAGAACGAGCTGACCAAAATGTCAGTATCTCCAAGATTGAGAAAGCAGGATTTGGACAATTACAAATGGCCACATAACTTGAGTAAAACAGTAGAAGATGGGTTAATATTCCTATTGCCATCCACTGCTCCCAAAATCTAGACTGAAAAGGAAATAATTAATCATGATATTTTACACTTCCTACACAAGGTACCATTTGGAAGGAAACAAGACAGAATATTTTTTGTAAGGCCCATTTCAGCCAATTAACCTCCTTGGTAGGAAACGTGTTTTAGATATTTTCATTTCCATCACAGCCAATGCTGGACTCTGTGATGACTTTTAATCACATAGGTAGACAGGCAGTTGGAACCGGAGTCAGATTACAAAGGCTGCACCTACTCCAGGAGCAAAATTCCCTAAAATCATGAATTTTACATAGGTGATTTCCAATGGCCTTCATAAGCATCATGACTCCTATACATATTTTTAAAGAGGGTCAGAAAGTTGAAACCTGATATATATGCAGAAGAGCTGGCTAGGCGTAGTCATTGCAGAGGGCATTTTAATAGTAACAGGCAAATGGAACTATTTCTACAGCAAAGGGACAACTCAGAAGAGCCATGTGTACTGGTCCTGCTGATAGCCATGCCAAGTTAAGGAAAGGTACCGAAAGGGGATGAGAGGCCATGACCTCTACAATCACACTTGCACTGCCACATAGACTTCACTAAAATTAATGCTTGAGTGTTTACTACCAAACGGAAAGACAAATGCAAAATTACCAGGCTTAATTACTTAATTACATGTTAGCGATGTATCTATTTCCATTTTTTGATATCCTCTTCAATCTTCTTTTTCAGAATACTGTGGTTTTCCACATAGAGATCTTTCATTTCCTTTGTTAGATGGATTCCTAAGTATTTTGAGTTTTTTGAAGCTATTATGAAAAGTATGGCTTCCCTATTTTTCTGAGTTTGTTATTTGTATACAGGAATGCTACCAATTTCTAAGTGTTGATTTTGCATCCAGTTACTTTAGTTGATCTGGTTATTAAATCTAGAAGTCTTGTGGTGGAGTTTTTGTAATCTTCTATGTAAAATATCAAGTCATCTGCAAATCATGATAACTTAACTTTTTCCTTTCCTATTGCTATTCTTTTTATTGTTTTCTTAGGTCTAATTGCTCTGGCCAATGTTTCCAGAACTATATTGACCAGGAATGGTAACAGTGGACACACTTGGTTTTAGAGTGAAAACAAGGGTGATTTTAGAATGCAAGCTTTCAATTTTTGTCCATTTAGTGTGATGTTGATTGTTAGCTTGTCATACATGGCTTTTATTAAATTGAGATAAAGATGGTCTATTCGGATTTTCTTTAGGGTTTTTATCATGAATATGTGTTGGAATTTTTCAACATCATATGGGTTTTGCCTTTGGCTCTGTTGATATGATGTACTACATTTATTGATTTGCATATGTTAAGCCATCCCTGCATCCTTGGGAGAACGTCTCCTTGGGCATGTTATATAATCTTCATACTTTGCTGCAGTCTGTTTATCAGTATATTGTTGAGGATTTTTACATCTATATTCAGTAGGGAGATTGGCCTGTAGTTCTTTTTTATTAGATCCTTCTCTGGCTTTCACATCAGGGTAATACTTGATTCCAGAAATAAGTTTGGGAGTATTGTTTTACTTTTAATTTCACCAAAGAGTTTGAGGAGTAATGGCATTTAATCCTCTTTAAATTTCTTGGAGAACTTAGTAATTTATCCATCATGATGTGGTCTTACTCTTGGGTACAAAGAACTAATACAGGAAAAATGGCCATACTCCCAAAATTTCTATCCAGATTTAATACAATCCCAATTCAAATGCTACTTGCATACTTCACATAACTAGACAAAATATGTCTCAAATTCATTTAGAACCAAAAGAGATCTAAAATAGCAAAAGCAATTCTGGGCAATAAAGGCAGGTCAAGGGGCATCATAATTCCTGACTTGAAATTATACTACAAAGCCACTATAACAAGAACAGCATGGTGCTAAACAAACAAAACAAAAGAAAACCAGCCCCAAGGGAACAGATTAGAAGATGGAGACACAACTCCAAATATACTCTGCTACCTAATCTTTGAAAAGGGGGTCAAGTATCTTCACTGGAAGAAGGCTAGCCTCTTAAATAAATTGTGATGGAAACCTAGCTTTCTATATGCCAAAGACTAAAACTAGAACCATGTCTATCACTATGTATTAAACAAAAATAAAAATGAATCAAAGATCTAAATATAAAAACAAAAATACTAAATCTGCTGGAAGACAGAATAGGTAGAACATTTGAAGAACTGGTGTTGGTAAAGACTTTATGAACAAAACCATCATGAAGAATCAACATTTGAGATTTCACTTTATTGGAAAGCTTTTGCACTGCAAAGGAAATCACCAACAAAATGAAAAGACAACCCACAGAGTGGGAAAGTGCCAGCTGTTCATCAGGCCAAAAAACTAATATCTAAAATATATGAAGAAATGAAAAAAAATGAGACCCTCCAAATTCAAAGACCCAATCCAACAGGGCCATGTGAAATGAAAGACAGTTCTCAGATAAAGAAATACAAATGGCAAATAAATATATAATAAATATATGAAAAACTATCCAATATTACTGATCATTTGAGAAATGCAAATTAAAATAACATGAAATTCTATCTCACTCCAGAAAGAATGGCCACTATCAATAGAACACCTGATAACAAATGTTGATGGGGCTACGAGGAAAAATGAACTCTTCTCCACTGTTGGCGAGAATGTAGACTTGTATGACTACTGTGGAAATCAGTGTGGAGATTTCTCAAAAAACTAGGATTAGAGCTCCCATTTGGCTCAGCCATTCCCCTTCTAGGTACGTTCCTCGAGGAATTAAAAGTATCATACAATAGCAATCATAGCAATATATGTGCATCCATATATATCCATTCATAATAGCACTGTTGAAATAGCTGCATCTTGGAAGAACTGAAACACCCATCAACCAATGAACGGATTAAAAAAGGTGTGATTTTAAAAAAATGTAAGAGTGTTATTCATCCACAAAGAAAGATAACATTGAGACATTTATAGAAAAATGGATGGACCTTGAGACCATAATCATGAGTGAAATAATAAAGACATACATGTAGAATTACCACATTATCTTTCTGATGTGAGAAGCTGAAAATGTAAAAAAATAACAAAAATGTACAATAGATGAAACTATCTAGAAGGAAAAGGGAACTCAGAAGAGGGGAGAGGGAAAGGAAGGAAAGGAGGGAGACAGAGGGAGGAAGGGAAGGAGTGAGGGAGGGAAAGAAAAAAATGGGGGGGAAGGATAAAATGAAAGCAGAGCTTTCTGAACAAGGTATGGAATGTGGTTTGAAAGGAGAGGACAGGAGTAGAGAAAAAAGAGGAATCAAGATAGCTCATGCACAGATATAAATTTCTTGTAACAAATGTGATCATTACATATATCTACTTGTAGCAATAAGCTTAAATACACTAAAAGAAAGGATATATTTAAAAGCTAAGTTTTTAATGAATGACCTTTAGTTAACTGATGGACACAACTGTCAAATCATCCTTGGGTAGTGCTGGTTTTCATAGTACCCAATTTCTGAACAGCACTACACTAATGTACATTTATAAACACAGAAACCTGTGGACAAAAGTCTCATGGATAAGTACTAACCACCAATCTGTGATAAAAATCTCTTCTCTTGCTTCTTCCATTGCATTTGCCACATCTTCAAAATATCCTTTGGCATTAACATACCTGAAAGACAAAGTTTTTTTTTTTTCTATTTTTGGCCTTGTTTTATTTTTTAAAAAAAGGAAAATAAATCTATCCTATGGTGCAGCAAAATATGATAGCCCTGCCTGGGGTCTCAATATCACCACCAGTTTATTTTGTGTAAATCAAAAACAAAGATTAAAATTCAACCTTCCATCTGCTACGTAGGAAGAGCAGAAAGCAGACAGACCCAAACGACTTGATTCTTCTCTGCCTAGAGTGCAATAAATCCACTGAGCAAAACAGGGAGCTATACGAATTTTCCTATCGTGTGAAACTCACCCATGGTTTTTTATCTGACCTTAAAATCAGGCTGAATCCCAATTATGGGAAGAAAAACACATTGGGTTTGATTTCATCTAAAAGAAATTCTAGCAAATCAATGTTTTTTATAATTCATGGCTAATGATTTGAATCTCTAAAGAAAAGTATGGAGATAGCTTAAAATAATCAAACTTTCCAGCCTAAAGGTACCTAAGCTCATGATTAAAAAACCCTTAAAAAGCTGGAAAACTAACCTATTAACCAGGAAGGGGCCTCAGAAAGACAGAACTTTGTTAAATATAATGCATAATCTCTATTTACAGTTTTGAAAGTTGATTCCAGGTGAATTGTGAGCATTATACTGCTACATGCTATGACTACCTTGGTATCCTAGAGCAAAAAGATCTCACCATTTAGCTAACGTGTCATTCTGGATAGCAGCATAGGACCCAAACCGATGATCCTTGAGGAAGTTGGTGCCATGTTTCTGGATGAATTCTTCTATAGCTCCTCCCCACCAACGAGCATGTCTGTAGCTGTTGCATTTTAAAATAAGTGTCCTTTCAAAAAAAAAAAAGTGGTATAATATAGTCACTCTGAATTCTTTATCTTCAAAACAATTTACAGATTAAATATGTTCTATTTTATTTATTACTATAACAAACATAAATTGAAAGTTTTAGGGAAAGAACATAAATACAGGCTGATAAAAATTTTGGTAGAATTTCTGCAAATATTCAATATATACAAAAGAAATCTTCAGGCTCCCTTTTATCTCACTACTCATGCGAGCACACACCAAGGTACTTGTTATGCACTTAGAGTTGTGCTAGGCTGGGAGGCGGCTCATGAAAGAGGTGGAAGAGCTAAGTGTTGGACAGTTGTTGAGTCCCTGAGAGGACATTTCCCTTGGCACTTCCCTTGGCTTTTAGAAATATTGTCTTGGCTATGCTTTAGGGGAGCCATCTCTTCCCTTTTCTGAGTCTACTAAAGGTAAGCAATGTGGAATACTTCATGCCCCTGGTCCCAGCAGCTGGCTCCTGCCCCTATTCTACCCATGAGCTCAAATTTGAGGACTTACTCAGCAGTACCAGAAGAGAATTCCCTGTCCTGAATTTGAAGGGTGGGGAGCTGCCAACTTGCCATATGAGACCAGTTGGCAGAGGGAGCAGATCCATAGGTGACAGAACTGATAAAAGGTAGAAAATGTGGCTTAATGATAGTTTGAGCTTCATAATTAGGCTCAACATAGATGATCAATTATGGTATAACTTAGTTTGCCTCTAACTTTTCTGTCACAATGACTATGCTATCATAAAATGTTAGAGATTTATAAATGCTAGCAAAGGTCAGGATAGATTACAAAAAGTTTTTTTTTTCTTATGTCAAGTATCAGAATTGGTGATTACCACTATGAGGTAATTTGAAATTCAAAGGAGAGCAAGGTGTTGGAGTCAGCATTTAGACAGAAATCTACTACCACTCCAATCTGAGAGAACTGAGTGAGGAGGAGAGGTCAGTTTGGGGGACTATGGAACAATCCTCTTAAGAAGTAAGAAAGGGGCTATGTTAACAGACCCTGAAATAATTATTTCTAAAGATGAGGGAAGTCCAACTTCTCCTCTCCATGTGTCAAAGACGGACGCTGAACTCTAGAGATGTTAATGCTGATGCTGCTTGGTGTAGAGGCATGGAGTAAGACACAGTGGGAGTGGGAGAGGAGCAACATCCTCCAGCAGGTATGGCAAAGGGGACAAAGCTCCCGGACCAAGAGCAGGAGGGCCCAGAATGCCTGGACTTCACTTGGCATGCAAATACTACTGAACTGAGTTTACATGCCTCTGCAAAACAGCTAGAAGGAGATTCTGTGGGAAGATAAGTATTAGACACACAGTGGCCAAGGAGAGTCTGCGGGAGAGATAAGCGACACACACAGGCCTTGTCAGAGTATGTGTATGTGCGGTGGGAGCCCTTCAAAACAGGAAGCAGAAGAGTTGAGAAAAGATGCATGAGAAGGGATAGAAAAGAAAACAGCCTCCATGGAACGCAGGGCTGCAAAGGCAGAGATCAAGGACCTTACATTAGAAAAGGAGACGTGGGTTATTTGATAGAATCACGAGGAGCCTATGCCAGGGAAGAGGTTGGTGGAAGCTGGCTTTGAACAGATTCCTTTGACAATGGTGCACAGTACATGAAGGCTGAAATGGAGACAGGGAGGCTAAAAAAGTCCCAGTTACAGGGCCAGATGAGAGCTGTGGCCTGGCTTCTCTGGTACCATGGAAAACAGTGCTAGAAGAAGGTGGGACGGCAGTGCTGTGGCATTTCCAATAATCCTGAGCATTTCCTTTCCAGAGAATAATGGGAAGTTCAGCACATGTTTACACAATCACACTCACACATATGCACACACATGCACCAATGTGTATTAGTAGGGTAATACATGTCTATATTGGTAACTGTGTGAAGATAGAAATATATGGATATATATGTATATATTCATATACACAAGGCTGAACTATGTAGGGATAAATGTATGTGTGTATGTGTGTGTATATATATTTATATATCTATATATGTATATATGTATATATGGTACAAATTATAATCTTCCAGAAACATATCAACACACATACTCACTGGTAAAATCTATAATAAATGTACATTTGAGTATGTCTTCAAGATATCTTTTCTTAAATATAAGTAGAATTTTTCTAAATCAAATAACTTTTTAAATCATTTATTACGTAGAGAATATTGATTTATAAAATTTTATTATTTTTTGACATAAAATACCACTAACAGTTTGGTAAACTGAGTAACAAAATTCTGTTAAAGTAGACAGACACCCATACTTTGGATCATTTGTTCTTATTCCTTTGTATAAAGAATACTCTTAAAAATGTATGTAGGAAAAAGTTTTCTAACTATTGATTCATATGCTCCAAATAACAACTTTCTAGTAATTTTACTTCTTCCTCACTAAGCTTTGAGAGAAAACTTGGGGTTCTGAAAGATTTTGGTAGATATGCTTTTTAAATATTTGCAGCTTGAAAAGTTACAATTACCTTGAAAGATTATCAATTCGAAGTCCATATTTTGTTTCTGTCTCTTTCTTCCCCACCTTAATGCTAAATTCTTTATCTACCAGCAGGACAAAGGCAATAGCACCACTGTCTGGTTTCATATATAATAAAAAGGAATCTTTCACTATTAACCACCTGCAAAAAGAGAATAAGGACTTTTGAAACCCAGAGAATAAATGATTATGACATATATTCAGTGAACATTCTAGTAGACCATAGATACACTTTCATATTTTACATGGTGTTTTTAAATCACTCTGATCCAAAATGAAACAGAAAATAACACAAAATCTATTATGTTTTTCTAAGGTGTAGTAGCACCAAGTGATTAAAAATAATTTAATAGCTTTGTAAGCATGAAAGGCGAAACCCGGAAGATCATCCTTGATATTATCAGGTGGAATGAGGTTCAGAGGACATCCTGCGGTTGGAGTGACAGAAGAAGGTGATGTTTGTGCACACAAATTACAGTAAAAGGAGGAAATAAGTCTTTCAATAAGCAAAATTACCCTTTAAAAACCCAATATTCCACATATGCTGTTACTTATTTCACATGATTTGTCGTTCATAGACCTTTGATAAATTATGCTCAATTGGACAGGCATATCTCTCAAAATTAATTCTATTCAATGCAAAGTATATTTAAGAGCTTTATAACAGAAAACTACAGTGATAACCTGAGTTAGGTTAGACAAAAACCTTATATAGCATGTTTTCTGAGGAGTCTGCTAGGCTAATAGGGACAAACAGTTCTGGAATAAATGGGAAAGTTCTAGAGAAGAAAAGTGAAGAGTAACAGGTGCAAAGAAGGAGTCTTTAGTCCTGGCTAAGAAGATGAGAGAATACTCAGAGGAAGAAGCTGGGAAAGTGGATAAAAGGCACACTGAGGTGGGTTTGAAAGCAAAAGAGGCTGATTTGGTATCATGGAACCAGTGTTTCCTAAACTTACTAATGATCAGAAAAGTTTCTCGTGATATTTGTTAAAAAAAACTGATCTCTGGGCCCCTTCTAAGACCCAGTCCAAATGCCTGAGAGTATGTTAACAAAAACATCAAGGTAACTGCTTTGCTTTTGTTTGGTTTTGAAACAGGATTTCACTTGTAGCTCAGGCTGGCCTCAATCCTTGAACTCACAGCAATCCTTTTGCCTTGGCTTCTCCAGTGCTGGCACTACAGCAGCGCACCATCATACCCAGAAAGGCAATTGTTAAATAAAAGTCTCCTTATGCCCCTGCAAGGTAGCATGATAATAAAATCCTCAGACCTATGCTTTAGAAGAAATTATGAAGAGAAAGAGAGACGTAGTGTGGAGGGTAAGCCTATGACTGCAATAACCCTGACCCATTCTTCTCAGAGATTAATGCACATATATAGCTCCCTGAAGAGCCTGATAAAATGCAGACTTCAGTTCAATAGGGAAGGACCTGAGTCTGCATTTTTAGCAAGCTCCTAGGTGACGGCCATGCTAGGACCAGATTCTGAGGATTTAAATAACTGACAACAGGAAGAGCAAGAGAGAAAAGATGGAATCCATTTAAAGCAGCTACAACTATAAATACAACTGTCATGGTGCAATACAACATGTATCTAGAGGGGGATTAATGGCAATATATTTTTCACTGAAATAAAAATTTTAAATTTAAATATGCTATATTTTTATTACACCTCATATAAATATAACTATTACCCTGCAGCATACCATGTATACATATTTGCCTGTAACTGCATGGTCATCAGGTGAATGAGGCAATAACTCAATAAAGTAACATCGAGCATAGTATCAGGCAAAGTAAAGCACGCAGGTGACCCCATGGAAGTGGAGCCAATAAGGTCAGAACACTAGGGTATAAACTAAGTAATATGTACATGTAGCATGGGAACTCTATGTAAAACAAGTCTATGTGAACTATTTCCTGAAATTGCTAACCACTTTATATTCTAGGAGCTTGACAGCCTGGATCTGATGTGAACAAATCTGCATTGATTTTTCCAGCGTTCTGTTTCATTCATCTTTTAAAAGGCTGGAACCTGCCCAATAAAAAAGGGCGTGGTGGATAATTTAGAGTAAAGGAAATGCGTATGGTATGGTTAACAGAGGACATGGAGGGCACAAAAAGCAATAACTAACTACAAAGGTTAATGTAATTAGAGATGACACACTAAAGTGGCACAGAGGTTCCTGGTTTTCCTTATCAAATCAATAAGTAAAAAAAATAAAGAGATCTCACCAAAACCAAACTTCAAAGGAAGTTCCTCCCTCAGGACCTAATAGAAGGCAACTGAAAAATATAGTGGACAATATTCTCAGTAATGGTTTTTAATGAATGCAGATGTTATACATTTTGTAAGAATCTGATAACAGTGTAAATACCAAAGCCATGGTATCAAAGGGCAACTTGTGATCATGAATGGACTGAGATTAATTCAGACACGTAGCTGCCTACTGAGAAAATTTGGCATAAGGTTAAAGGATGCTGGATAGATCACGTGTCTGTCGAAGCTCCTTCCTTCCCATGGCATGTGGTGTAAGCTAAAGGGTATGTAGCATGACGCTGCTCAGCTATCTGGCACTACTGTGCCATGCTGTAGGCCAGGAAAGGGCCACAGGCTTTGAAAACCACAGCTGCTAGAAGTGACAACCTGCAAAGATGTCAAGTGTCCCAGGCTCATGATTTTGCCTGCCTATATGTCAAGGATATGTGAATGATATCTAATCCAGCTCTGGCTAGAGCTCCATACCAAAGAGATAGGCAGTGTGAGATGAAAATGTCATTTCCAGATATACCAAATTCCCACCACTGCGGTGGAAAACCAACCTGAAAAATGCCCCTAAGAGCACACTTTGTGGTATTACCAGAAAGGCCAAGGGCTGTCCAACTTGTCTTTAGCAAGGAGCCACTACGTGTCACCAAGCTGGTGTGCCCGGCACTGGGTTCCTGCTAAGGAGGCTCCAGTATTTCCTTTACTGCTGCAGGAATGGGGCACTTTGCTCTAAGCCACAGAGACTCTGTAGGCTACAGTCTTACTCAGCAGAATGAGGTGGCTGCGCATACTGCAGGGCCAGGACACTCTCCACTCTAAGGAGACCATTCACTAGGTATCCTAGGCGAGTAGTTCCCCCTCTTCCTCCAAGGTGGGACAGCCCAGAAATACAGAACTGCTTAGCATTCCAGTCATCTGGAGTTCAGAAGCAATGCAAAACTGAATGGTTTCTCTTTGCCACTGATGATGAATTCTTAACAGTCATTAGATATCAGGGAAAATGCTTTTTTACTAAAAGCTTTTCTTAATAGTGCCATGCCATAAAAGTCCTCTGATTCCCCACTACCCCATCAACAGATACTCTTTTCTCCAACAGGAGGATATGCATCAAGAAAGGATGAAGCACCTGCCCTTGGATTAGCCCACTTGACCTCAAATTCTGACTCTGCTTCTCCTTGTTGGTCTCACCTGCTATTGCTCTCCCACACCACGCTGGTCTAACTGCACTTCATGCTTGACATAGTGGGCCGGGATGAGCGCCTTCATGTGCTCTCCTGTCCATGGAGGAAATCTATTTAAACAGCCCTGCATAAGGAGGCTATTTGACCTGGAGGTCATCCCCAGCCCTGCCCCACTCCATCGCGCTGCACTGCTCTGCACTGCTCTGCCCCGAGCTTCTTCACAGCACCCCTGAAAGTATTCAGCTGCTTGCTTACTCACCTGTCTCCCAAACTAGGAAGTTAGCTGATTGAGAACAAGGAATGTGGCTGTCACATCCACCCTGTGTGCCCAGGGCCTGGAATAATCTTCTAGCAGCCCAGGGCACTCACTAAGGCAAAGCAAGCAGCCTAACTGAATTATACACAAAAGCATTCCCAGAACATGAATGAAACCATTTAAACACTATTATTGCCTAAAAAAATCTTCATTATTGGAATAGGTTGCAGTCCACAAATGTAAATGGTGTACTTACTGCTTAGCATCTACACAATAAGACATTATTTGAGGTGAGAAATTTAACAAATAGTGTACTACCAGTTACAAAGATTTGGCTTGATAAATGTGCTCCTTGAGCAGATGTTTTACAGTTGAAGAAATTCTTCCTGTGTTCATCTTTTCTTTTCTTTTTACTTGCCCCTGCAATAAGGTCACCAGGAGAAATTGATTTAAAATGTAACTGTCCTGTTCACCTTACCTCAACTTGTCAATATAAGGTAAACTTTTCTTTTGTTTTTTTTATGGGGACCTAATAAAAGAAAGCTGTAAATGAATGTCACCTTTAAAGTGGACTCCCACTTGCACACCTATCAATAGATTTCTTCTGTGAGAAACCCTGCCAACTAATTTTGTCAGCTCTCCATTATCATCTATATATGATGCCTGGTACTATAAATGACTCAATTTGATTCAGAAAATATTAATATGGAACCAAGGCTTTAATCTTCACCAAAAGATTTACACAATTTAAAATGAGGACACATTTTCATTGCAAGAAGAATCATATCTTTTTATATTGTCCTGTTTGAAACATGACTTAATCCAAAGTTGAAAAAAAGAAGGGCGTATTTCTTTTATGTAACAAACTCTTGCTCCATCTTGCCTGGCTTGACTTTTGTGGAGGTTACATCTCAAGAGCTAGCTTCTCACGGAGCTTTTCCCAGACTCCTCCAGCTAAAGTCACCCATTCCAGTTCCCAAATGCCTCACTACACCATTGCCTTTTTCTTCCTCCACAGATTCTCACTTCCTGAATTTACATTATGGCCAGTACTTGTTCACTTAGTTACTGCCTTCATTTCTCTCCCACAGAGCTCCACAAGGGCAGGGCTTCTTTTTACAGATGCTAGAACACAAGCTGGGAGACACGAAGCACTCCATAAATGACTCAATGAACTAAATCAAGGATGCTGTCCCTTGAGTAGTGAACTTAGCTTGGGTCACCACAGCTTAGCCTGCATAAGCTCTAAAACCAGGATATATGTGTATAACACAGTTTAGAAAGATGCTTATTAGGGTGGCGTTGCCAGGAAGCCTCAGTAGGGAGGGAGGGAGGGAGCCTGAGGAGGTAGGTTGCCATGCACTTTATGATGGGCAGAAGACTAGGGGCCAGCTGGGAGCTCAGAGACAGCCCTGGAACATACTGCAAAATCATCAGACCCCAAGGGGGAGCCAGCAGGAGTCAGTGGCCACAAAGAGGCTGCTCACACCTCCTATCTGTTCTGCACACACAGGAGGCCTCTGGCACCTCTGAGATCTTTTAGTAAAGAATCACTGGTGCTCGAAGCTGAAGTCTGAAATGCCTACGCAGCTAGTAGCAGCTGATTTGGACAAATGACTGTGCAGGAATGATCAGACGGAATCTACCCAGGGTTTCCCAGGGAGAAAGCCAGCCTCCAAGAGAGGCCTAGGGCAGGGCAAGGCATCCTGGTAGGAGCAGCTGGCTGATCCTTATCCTTCCTCTTCCTGCTGGGCTTGAGTCTGACACTCCCCAGGGTGCTACATAATCTGGGGTGAGAAGACATCTCAAGGGGGAGTCTGGATTCTCTGCCATGTTACCTACACACCAAGTTTATATAAGTTAGAGAAGTTGATCTGAAAGCAAATATCTTGTCAGTACTCAATTTCCCTTTATATTTTATTTTATTTTATTTATTTATTTATTTATTTATTTATTTATTTATTTATTTTGGCGGAACCTGGGATTGAACTCGGGCCCTTGTGCTTGCCAGGGAAGCACTTAACCTACTGAGCCATCTCCCTGGCCCCTTCCCTTTATATTTTAGTAAAATTTTTTGTAACAGAAATGTTTCATTTTCTTCAGTCCAGTCATCTGATGTTTTCATGGTAATTTTTTTCTATCCTTCCAAAGCTCACAAAGCAAGAGCCCAACCTGATAGGGTTCTGGTAAAGGTTTTTCTTTCTGGCAGTAGTATATCTTATATAAACATCTGTAGAAGTAGATCCCTGTATTACTTTCATATATCTTGAATACACATAACATAATTCTCTATTTACAAGAGAGCTTATCATTTTCAAATTGAGGAATACTACATACAAACCTATATGTAGATCTAATTTCTTAATAATGCTTTAGTAGATTTTTTAAAATCCTGGTACAGGGGCCGGGGAGAGAGCTCAGTAATAAGCGCTTGCCTGGCAAGCACAAGGGCCTGAGTTCAATCCCTGGTTCCACTAAATAAATAAATAAATAAATATCCTGGCACATTATTATTGCAACAGTGTTTATGTTTTAAGTGCAAAACATGGGGAGACACTAAAGTCTCCCCAAGAGAATGCTGCTCCTCAAGGAATCTTCACTTGGTTAAGACATAAGATGAAATAAAACTCTATCTCATCCCAACCATAACATACATTTTTTCACAAATATAAGTCTAAAATTGTCATAACTCAAGTCTTCTCATTTGCTTTTTGTTTAAAGCATACAATTCAGTTTTTTAAAAAAAAATATTTGAAAAATCACAAGATTGTCACCAATATTTAATTCCAGAATATTTTTATTGTTCCATAAAGAAATCCAATACCCATGAGCAGAATTAAATTAGGAAAAGGAATCCCATTCCATCCCTGGAAGGTCTTTGTTTACTTTGCTCTCCAGATATGAGAGTTATGTAATAGGCGGTTCTTTGCAGCTAGCTTTTTCATTTCTGATATATCCAAGGCTCATTCACACTGTGGCATGTATTAGTGCATCATTTCCTTTAAGTTTTCTTCTGACATAATCCACATACCATAAATCTCACCCCCCAAAAAGCACATAATTCCATATACACAAAACCGTGTGGCCATTACTACTCTCTAGTCCCAAACAATTTCGTCATCCTTCAAAGAATCCCCGTAGTCACTGTCCACACTCCTCTCCGTGATTCGGTAATACTTCACTGTGTGGAAATACCTCTTGTTTTTCATCTGTTCATTTGAGTTGTTTCTACTTTTTTTTGGCTCTTATGAATAATGCTGCCATGGACAAGTCTATTTTTTTTCAGATATTTTAGATGAACACCTAGGAGTGAAATTTCTGGGGCATATGACAACTCAACATTTATCACAGTAAGAACTCTGCTTTGTGAAGTGGCTGTACTATTTTGCATATCCACCTGTAATGTACAAAGGCTCTAGATTTCTCTACTTCTTTGCCAACTTTTGTGATTATCTTTTGTTAGAAAAAGTTCATATCCATTCTAGAGGTTATGAAATTGTTATCTCACTGTGGTTTTGACTTATGCTTAACTAATGGATTGTGGTGATAAACATTTGCATATGCTTATTCATTTATACCTGTTCGGCCAATCAATTTCTGAGCTTTATATCAATTAATTATGGGTTTTATTTTGCTTTTGGTATTGGGTACTGAGCCAAGACCCCGCACATGCTATACACATGTTCTCCCACTGAGCCACACCGCTGTTCCCTCCACTGGGCTTTCATGTACACAACTTGTATAGTCTGCCATGTAGTCCCATTTTGAATAGAATATTTAAATGGATACTGGAACTAGGGTTTTAAAATATCATTTAAAATTTGCCCTCCTATAGCTTTCAGAGGATTTATTATTCAAAGCTACTGTATAAATACTTTCCCAAACACCCACTTCATCAAAACAAATACACAGAATTCCTAAGTCCTACCTTTTTGACCATCTGTAGCAGGCTCTCCCCTGACCACAGCAATTCAGACCTGGTATTCTGTGTCCCCCAGATCTTTTCATGATCATCCCTTCTCTGAAAGAGACATCAAAATAACCCATTAGTTTCAAATTCACACTTAGCTTGCTCATTCTCACAACATGGGGCCAAATAAACCACCCCATTCTCACATGACTCTCTTCCCCACTCTTTCTCCTGCGCCATGAGCTGCTTAATGTCATATTTGTTAGCCTGGGTGCTCTAGCAGCTTAGAAGCCCCTAGGCCAGATGTAGCTCTACTGAGATATGAGGTTGCATAATTCTACTGTGCTCAGTGTAGGACCTTAACCATCCTGCCTCTTGCCTCTTAACGCTAAGTGTTTCCTCCAGCCAGTAGTTATGATGACCCCATGCATTCTATAGCCCAGTTGCTTTTGAGACTGGAGGGAGGAATGCCCAAAGATCAAGCACATCTTTATATTCCTCCATGCATGGTTCTAACAACTGAGCCATACCAAGGGCAGGAGAGCACCGCTACTCCCTTTGAAAGTGCATTCCTTGATTTTGAAAGACACGTCCAAAAAGGAGCAATATCAACAACTATACAAAAGGAAATAATTTTGAAACAATGCTCCTAAAGAACTAAAATTTACAAGTTAAGCCTTTATGTAATCAAGTGTTAATACAATATTGTATTGGGATATAATCACTGAATAAATTTCCATCTATTTATACCTTTCTCTTTGTATTACTATTCTATTTTTTGTATTTTTTTTTTTTTTTTTAGGGAAGGGTGTATAGGGTGTTCAGGGTCTCACTACTAGATCGGACTTATAGTGACCTGCCTGTTTACAGCCTCCCAAGAGCTGGGATTACAGGCGCAGGCCACCACGCCCAGTCTCAATTGCCAGCTCAGTGCACCCCGGGGGCAGGGTCAGCATGGCAAGCCGGGGGATTGAACCCCCGGTCCCTGTGCCCGTTTGCCAGCGCTTTAATCCGCTAAGCTATTTGGCCGGCCCTTATTTATACATTTCTCTTATATAGTATTTTTAAATAGCTATCAAAATAACTGAGAAACAGTTAACTTTCATGAGTGAGTAGAAAAAGAGGCCTTAAATATTAGATTTTTTGTGCACTTCCCAAAACACACTTGCTGTGATTATTGAACACGCCCACTGAGCGGGCTGTGCGGAGAAAGACAGCAGAACAGCTGCTACCACCGCTCCCGGCAGGAGGCGCTGCTCCGTGTAGGTGGATCGCCTCTGAGGGAAACCGAGAGGAGGGCCTGCCGGAAAGCCTGGTGCTCCACGCACACCAAAGGTCAGCACTCATCAGCCTTTCACGCTTCTCTACAGGGATCCAACACTGGAACTTACAAGCCCTTTGGTCCCAAATCACGGATGAAAGATAACTGGCTTATATCAAGGAATTCTGTCTGTGAAGAAGTAAAAAAGAAAAACTTTAGACTGAAAAAAAGAAGAAAAGACAAATAAATTTGTGCATTATGTACAGATCAAAAATCATGATATCGCCCTGAGCCTGTACTGATGAGAAGGCTACAATTAAAACACAATCAAGAAAGCACACACAAAAAGAACAGAAAAAAGAAAGCACTCTCTACACTAGGACTTAGAGATGAAATACTCAAATAGTCATGGATAGTGAGTTTACTCCCAGTACTGTTTTGTGTTCTTTTCTATTATTGGGGAAGAGAGTCGCATGGCACGGTGCACACAAAGTAATTAATTAATGAAGGGATTACTATTAGTGCCAAGTCGTAGGAGACAGCGTGGCCTTCCGCATGTGGAAGTGAGAGATAAAGGGAGAGGGAAGAGCAAATTGCTTAAGAAGGTGACAGATGTGAGGTCGAGCTATAGGAAAACAGATGAAGGGGGATAAGTGAAAATCAAATGGTCAGGTAGGCTGCAGAGGGGTTGGGGAATGTTAGGCATTTGCAGGAAGAATTCTTTTAATTAGTTGAAAAGGAAGAGAGTTTTAGGTGCATTTCACTCTACAGAGTACAAAGAGATTAAAAATTATAACAATTGGAATAAGAACAGTTCCGGCTAACATTAACTAAGGGCTCATTATTTGTTGGTTTTGTGGTGAACATTTTTCATGCATTATGTCAAACCTCTCTGAAGTACGTACAGAAGAGAAAACTGAGGTTCACAGCAGGGTCAGTAAAGTTGGTTTCTCTCACTTGCAGAGAGCCAAACTAAATATTTTGCGCTTAGCGGGCCATAGTCTCTGTTGTGAA